GTGTGAAGTAATAAGAATATAAGAGTAGTTACTTAGGTAATAATGATCCAATGGCAAATCACAGGGTGAATATGAGATGTGACCAAACTACGGTCAACAAATAAGTATACAACTATCATAGCTGCTTGGGAGATATTGATTAAATGGTGATCAAATGGAGAAACAAGGCATAGAACAAGTGCACATGCAATGGACATAACTTTCATGTTTAGGAGATTTGGTCCTTCTCCCCAACGTGATTGATGCCCACTTAGAATACCAACCACAGCCCTTCTTCCCTTGGGGGAGCAGATGGTGAGTAGCTCTTCTTGTTCTTGCAGCCTGGCCTTCAATGCATACGCCTCCAGCCCAAGCTGTCTTATGCATTGACCTCACAAGGGCCCAGCCCAGTCTGACTGCCTATAGAATTTCTACCTAACTTAGCTGTCCAGAATAGTCTATCTGTGGGCATTCTAAAACTAATGATGTGATATTAATCCTCAAAAGTAATAGCAGTTTGTCATGCTGATTGTCTCTAATTAGAAGTCAATGTTTGACGTAAGATTAACATGACATTTTTCCAGTAAATGTAAAGAGTAAATCCTCAAAAGACCTTAAAGTACTTATCAGGATCATCTGAAAATGACCCTAGATCCAGCTTGATCTGCTTTATATCATTGAGAAAAAAAGATACATGAACCTGAGTACTCTCATATGGATTATAATTATACTTTGAGCATAAATAAGAATTACATATCAATGTAAAGAAAGACTGAACGTAAGGCAATTCTGACCACTTATGCTCTCTTTTAACAGCATGGTTCTAGTTGTAAAATAACATAATAATTAATACTTAACTCTGAATTCCTTTCTGGCCCTAAAGACAAGTAGGTGGATGTACATATGCAGAAAAAATATTAAATAACTCCTTTTCAACACCTAAGGATCAAACATCTTCCAGTGTTTAAAAAATACAATCCAAAGGAGGAAAAGATTTCAAAATTGAGCTCCCCATGTCTGAAATGAAAAAAAAAAAAAAATGGGTTTTAAGATGAAGAAATTGAAATGGCAAACAAATACATAAAAAAAGTTCCAAAGAAGTTGGGAATCCTCTTTAACTTCTACTTCATTTCTATTTATACTCTCATGGCCTCCCTCACATTGATTCCACTCCAGGGCAGCTGAATGCCAGCTGGCAAGAGAACAAAAGACAGAATTAGACCAGCCTGTGCACCCTTGAACTGATGCCCAATGTCCTCTTCCCAGGGAGCTGGTGGACTTACCTCTGCAGGACACATATGAGCACACGTTACAATTGGTCTCCTACATCCGCACCCCAGCAAGAGGGGTTGTTCCACTCCCTAGAATGAGCCAGCTCCCCATCATCTTGCACAGCTCCTTCTCCACCACATTGAGTACAACCCACAACTGCAAACTTTGATTTCTCTGTAGTTGCTCCCAAGGCTTGGGAAGGCCCTGGCTAGAGCTCTGTTCTGGGCTTCATCCTGTTGAGGGCAGGGCTACCCAGACTGAGGGAATCAGGGAAACCACACTCTCCAAAGGATCAGAAAACAGGCAAAGCTGAACACACACAAGAACATAACATAGTTTATTAGTGTGAGGCTCTAGAGAGGAGAAGGAGTCAATGAGGGAGGCTTTGTTCCAGACATATCTGGGATTGGGCTCCTCATTAGGGGGCCAGAGCTGGGGCTAAAGCCAGGCTGCGGTGTGCTGCCTGGGGAAGCCATGCTGGTTCTGCTCTCGTGTTCTCAATGGTGTCTGGCCATATTGAGAGGAGATGTAGAGAGCTGCTTCCTAATAATGGCCTGGCTCATAGTAAGAAGAACAAGATGTTCACAGTGGCTACTGTTGAAATGGAATGTTTCCTGCAGTCTCCCTTCCTTTTTCCAGGGTCTCTGAATTCAAGGACCTAAAGAGAGAAAGCAAGCATAACTAACTACCAGGAATTTGTCCAAGGCCATGTCCCTTGCAAGTACACTTCTTCATGTAAGGGGATTCTGACTGAAAGTGCAAGAGATGTTTGTGTTTCTAAGGATCCATATTGCTCTCTCAGGAAGTAATAAGTGGAGGCCAGGGCCTTGGGAACAGGAGCCACCACCAGACTTCACAAGAAGCAAGCTGCTCACCCTGGCTGGGGACATGGATTCAGGTCCTGGATGGTATCCTTCAGACTCTGGCCACGTGTCTCAGGCAGCAGGAAGCAGAGCGCCCCTGCCACAATGGGGGTGCTGCCAAAGATGAGCATAGGGATGGCCATGTGGTAGTCACCCAGCAGGAGGACAAGTGGTGTGATGATGCCACCAGTCTTGGAGAAGAAGCTCACCAGCCCCATGCCTGTTGGCCTGGGGAAGGCAGCACAAACTGAGCATACCTGGTCTTGCTCCCAGCTGGTTTCAGCCAGAGACCCTATGAAATTCCCCATAGGCCTGTATGGGCTCCAGTCCCATTGACCCACCCAGTGCTCCTGTCCTGTGCTCCTTCATGCTCCTTTGTCTCCAGGCCTCCCTGCCTGCTAAACTTCCACTCAAGTCTCACCTCTCAGCCCCCGGTGCACCTCCCATCCTTCCTTTTCCCACTTGACTGTCCCTAATTCTGGCCATTCACTGTAAACCTATCCCACATTCCTACCAGACACAGCTAGGGCATGAGGAACTTTTATATCCATCCTCAACCCAGATGGGGACAATAGATGTGTTGCACTAAATTTCTGTTTTCCCTGGTCCTATAGACAGCTTCACTAGCTATTCATACACTGTTGGTGAGGACAGAATAGGGATAATCAAGATCCAGGTACCAGGGTCAGAGGAGGAGGCCTACCAGCAGCTCTTACCGAATGATGGTGGGGAAGAGCTCAGCAGCGTACACATAGGAAATGGTGAAGCTGGCTGTGGCGGCAAACTTTCCCAGTACAGCCAGCACTGTGACCACAATGGGCTGATCTGGTAGAAGATGCTGGTCAGCCACAGAGAGTGGATGTCCCCAACCCTTGTGCAGCCAGCCCCCAAACCTACTGCTTCCAAACTTTGAGGTACACATACTCTTGACATGGGAGCAATGGCCATTGCACAGGCCCCTCTCTAAGATGGGTGGGGATGCATGGTAAACAGCCAGCCGTATACCCGAAGGGATGAAGATGGTGGTGATACACATGACACCACTCACAATCAGAGTCCCAGACTGGCTCCACTTGCGACCCAACTTCTCCACCATGAAGATGACCAAAAGGCGGGCAGGCACTTCAACTGCTCGAAATATGAGTTGTGTCAGGTAGATGTCCAGGCCAAATCCCCCGACTTGGAAACTAATGCCATAGTACACCAGGCTGTTCACAAACCTACAAAAGGCCCAAGGGTCCATGTCACCACTGTGTGTTCAACACCATGATACTCAGAGGAAGAGGCTGACTTGTTAAGGGTTACAGCATGAGACACCGGCACTTCTACACCACCGCCTGTAGGCACCCATCCCACCATGGTACTGGCACACACAAGGGAAAGGGGAGTACTATGGATTTTTAAATACAGAGGCCATAGGCCCTGGCCACTCACCAGACCCAGATGAGAATCAGGGTCACCTTCTGCAGATGAGAATGCTTGAAAAGATCTAAGGCATTCCCTGTGCGGGCTTGCTTCTCTGGGACCAGCTGGAAGGAGATACACAGTGAGAGGGCCAGGGAAGATGTGGGAGGGGCAGCTCTAAGGCAGGACTGGGCCTGATCCTGCCACAAGTACCTGGCTCAGGAGCTCTGGGGAGAGCTTGCGCTTGTTGACTGAGGCTGCCTTCATGACCAGTTGTTTGGCCTCTTCTGTCTTCCCCCAGATGAGGAGCCACCGTGAAGATTCTGGTAGAAGCCTGAAATCCAGGAATCACTGGGACCTTGGAGTCCAGAGTGCTGTGGAGCTCTCCCAGCCACAGCATAGAACACAGAACCCCACACCCAGCCCTCACAGCTGCCTGTCCTGCAGCAGCCTCTGACCGCCTGGGAGATGTGGTGAAGGTGAGGGCTGCACCCCATGCCCACAGCACAACTGACCAAGCACCACCTCATCCCTCATGGGTCTCCTCACCAGAAGTAGAAGAAGAGCAGGAAGGTAGGAGCAGAGGCAGCAATTTGCAAGAATCTCCAGTTTCGGATACCGTAGGCCAATCCAGCTGCCAACATCTGCCCAGCGGAGTTGCTGACCTGATACAGGGCTATGGCATGAGTTCTCCACGAGGGACCAACCCACTCTGAAACTGTGGCACCAGAGAGGTTGAGGTGGGTCCACACCTGCACATTCATTCCCAGGTGCCCCCAGGATGCCATTATGGTGGACTGGGACCTCAGACCACAAGGAAAGCTATAAATTCTTCATGTGTAAGGGGTGCCTGTTTGAGTCCCCCAAGGAAGCTTAAAGGTTGGAAGCAGGCCAATTTCAGGGTCACACACTGGAACTG